CAAGGGAGGAAAGTGTTGTTTTCACAGCTGACTCTCCTCATGTCGCTGAAATCATGCCATACAGGCAGTTATTTCCTCTGTTTACTTTCAAGCCCATCTGTGTTCTGATTTCCCCTGTAGTTCTTTTTACTTCCATCTGGAGTTGATGGAACAGCTTGTATAAGCCATTTATGGTTAAGTTTCAGAATATATGTCCAGGCCTTCTAAATGGCCTAGGCATGAATATAATGTTGCTTTTCATAGTGTATACAGGGCAGAGAAGACTGAGATGAAATTCATGCCATTCTATATAAAATAGAAGACATTAAGGCCTGCTTTCTGATCTCACACATGAATCATTTAATTTAGCTGGGCTCTGACTTCAGTACCATGCTAGGGTGTGTTTTCCTCAGTGATTACGCACTCATTCCAATAGGGTAGGAGGTCAGTCAGTAAAAGTATTTATTGAGTCAGATCCTCCTCTGCTTCTGAGTCATTTTCTGGTAAAGTAGTAGGGTTCTCAGGGAGAAGCTTTAACTCTTTTAGATCACAAGGGTTATTCCTTAATATAATATGATATCTCTCTAAGTAATCATACGGACCTTATGCTAATTCTTTACTTGATATTTTGGATAATGAGATACATATTTAGTCTGATAGTGAGATAGAATTTGAGAAAAAATAGTATAAAGAAAATAATACCCACTTTGGCCCAACCTTGAGGAATTGTTTTAATAATGTATAGATGGCCAAGAGGTTTGCAAAATATTATGTTCGGCTTAAAAAAAAAAAAGTTATGACACTGCTCTTATGCAGAAATCTGACATCTGGCAACTTCAGTCCTCTGGACCACAGCCAGAAAAAAAGAACAGGGCCTCAGAGCACATGAAAAATAACCGTTGAAAACTCTAGCACTAACACATGTACTTTACCACCACAAAAGAGTTTGTTAGCCTCTCATGTAGAGCTTGTTCACTTTTATTTATCCAGGAACTTTTAGTAATTTTAGTGATGTATGTGTGGTCCCTCTCCTGCAGCAGATTATAAACAGCAATCTAGAAAGAGGGTTGGAAAGTTGACAGGAGATAAACTGATCACAGAGGGAAGGCTGACGTCAAAGGAGAAAGGCCTAAAAGTTACACTGTACAGTATTATGGATTACACACAGCACAGTAATGTATGGTCTTGATAATGAACTTGTGTCCATCAGCCAGAGAGTAAATCATGTTCAGTGTCCTTTATTGAAGAAGACAGGGAGGTGATAATGTGTCTTTTTTTTTTTTAAGACATAGAACTTACCAAATTTTGACATGTTGAAATGGTAAGTTCTGTAGTGTTTATCTACTTGAAATAGTATATTCTTTGATGAGGCTATATCGGTGACACAGATTTGAGCCTGTAGTAATAGAGATGACGTTTTGTCATAACCGCTAACATTTATCTGGCACCTTCAGTGCTAGCCCTGTTCAGGGTGCTTTCACACTCATGACATACTGGTTAAGGCTTTGGAGACCCACAGATCTGGGTTTCTATCCCATCTCTAATACTGTGTGACACTGGACAGATGACATCACCACTCTAAGTCTGTGTCTCACCTGCAAAACGAGAACCAGTCATATCCGATAGGGTTGTTGTTGTGAAGCAGGCCCTAGTGACACAGTGGTTAAGTGCTCGGCTGCTAACCAAAAGGTTGCAGTTTGAACTCACCAGCCACTCTGTGAGAGAAAGATGTGACCTTCAGCTTCTGTAAAGATTACAGCCTTGGAAACCTATGGGGCAGTTCTACTCTGCTATAGGGTCACTATGAGTTGTTGTTGTGAGAACTTGGTAGTGAGGGAAGTACATAGTACAATACATGGCAGATAGTAAGTGCTCAATAAATATTTGACATTATTATAATTATATTTTCATTATTATAATCATCCTCTTGATGATTATTATTTATAGTGTTATCTCCATTTTTCTGGACCAGGAAACTGAAGCCCAGAGAGCCTAAGTAATATATCCAAGGTGGAGCTGGGATTTGAACCTTTGTCCCTCTGACTCCAGAAACCCAGTGCTTTGCAGTCACATTATGCTGCCTTCCCAACATGTAATTATAGCTACACTTTAAAAAAATAAAACAAACAAAAAAAGCCTTAAATATATGATAAAAGAGGATAGAGGATGTGGAAAATGTTATTACTAGCCACTTCTCTTTTGTACTTTCGATCCAAATCATCTCAGTGTAGAAAAAAGAGTTTCAGTAACACAAAGACAAGCTACATTTCTTCAGCAGTACAGATTAAATATGTAACGTTTAGTTGTGTTACGTGATTCATTAGACTCTTATAGGTATTATCTCACATTAGTTCACTGAGCTACTCATTATATGCCTAACATAGTATTCAGTATTTGCTGAGATTGACGACCATATTTTTTTGTAATGAGGAACTGGGTGCTTTTTGATGTGATTATAGTTATGTGTGACATAAAAATTAGAATCCTCATCTCTACCATCTCTTCCAATGCCAAATGAGTACTTGGAATAAATGAAGAAAAATAGACTGGGTACCTGGACACCCTTCAGATGTTGGAGATGTCCTTCCTACTCCTTGTAAAAGACCTGGGGAGAAATGTAGCCTAATCATGGCAGATTGTTTACAGGTGGATGTCTGTACTCTATTTTCTCTCTTTCTATTGGTTAAAAACATACTGTCTTAGTTATCTAGTGCTGCTATAACAGAAATACCACAAGTGGATGGCTTTAACAAACAGAGATTTATTCTCTCACAGTCTAGGAGGCTAGAAGTCCAAATTCAGGGCACCAACTTCAGGGGAAGGCTTTCTCTTTCTGTCAGCTTTGGGGGAAGGTCTTCATCATCAGTCTTCCCCTGGGTCTAGGGGCTTCTCAGCACAGGGACCCCAGGTCCAAAGGACACGCTCTGCTCCCAGCTCTTCTTTCTTGGTGGTGGAAGGTCCTTCTTCTCTCTGCCTGCTTCTCTCTTTTATATCTCAAAAGAGATTGACTCAAGGTACAACCTAATCTTGTAGATTGTGTCCTGCCTCATTAACATAATATAGATTAGGATTTACAACGATAGATAATTACATCAAATCGCAAAATGGAGGACAACCACATAATACTGGGAATTGTGGCCTAGCCAAATTGACAGTCATTTTTGGGGAACACAGTTCAATCCATAACACATACTTAGACTCCCCAGACACATATACCCAGATGCAATGGACTCATACTCTTATTACAGCAAAGACACCGTAACCATGCAAGAATACTATCCAAGGTTGGGCCACAGACTTCTTTAAAGTGGAAACACATATTTAATCTAGTATACTGTCTTTAGGAGCCATGCGTAGTGCTTTCTTGTTTTTTCTTTTTATTGTGCTTTAGATGAAGATTTACAGAGCAAACTAGTTTCTCATTAAACAGTTAATACACATATTGTTTTGTGACATTGGTTGCTAACCCTGCGACGTGTCAACACTCTTTCTCAACCTTGAGTTTCTCCATTTCCATTGGTCCAGCTTTCCTGTCCCCTGCTGCCTTCTCGTCCTTGTCCCTGGGCTGGTGTGCCTATTTAGTCTCGTATACATGGTTGAACTGCATGTATTATTGTTTGTTTTATGAACCTGTCTAATCCTTGGCTGAAGGGTAAACCTCAGGAGTGACTTCACCACTGAGTTAAAAGGGTATCCACGGGCCATATTCTCAGGGTTTTTCCAGTCTCTGTCTGACCAGTAAGTCTGGTCTTTTTTGTGAATTTGAATTTTTTTCTACATTTTTCTCCAGCTCTGTTTGGGACCCTCTATTGTGATCCCTGTCAGAGCAATCGGTTGGTAGTAGCCGAGCATCATCTAGTTGTGCTGGACCCAGTCTGGTGGAGGCTGTGGTAGTTGTGGTCCATTAGTCCTTTGGACTGATCTTTCCATTGTGTCTTTGATTTTTTTCATTCTCCCTTGCTCCAGACAGGGTGGGACCAGTGGAGTATCTTAGATGGCCACACACAAGCTTTTAAGACCCCAGACGCTACTTACCAAAGTAGGATGTAGAACATTTTCTTTATAAGCTATGTTATTCCAGTTGAGCTAGATGTCCCCCAGTGTTTTCTTGTTCTTTTTTGTGGATCTTTGCTTTTCAGTACATTTTAAATCTCGGCGGTTGGGGTGTGGTCCTGCTGTTGTTCTTCAGGTCGTGTTACATTTTTGCAAACACAGTCTCGGTAGGTAGGAGCCACAATGCCCTCAGTTTGAACCTTGACCCTGTTGCTTATGAGTTCTGTGATCTTGGACAAATTAAGTTTTCTAAACCTTGCTGAGCCTCAGTTTTCTCTTAAGATGATTATGGGGAATAAATCAGATGCCTCATTTAAAATCCCTACTTTTTAAATACCACATTTAATACCATGCAACATGGTCACTTTTTAAAATACATTTAAAAAGTACCACAGTTGCCTTGTGTTTTAAAAATGTTAATTTCCTTACTTGCCCTCCTCGGGCATGCTAAAACGCCTGCGTTTTCTGACTTGCATCTTTTCTATCACTCAGGGGTATAAGTCACCTTTTCTTTTTCCAATTTCAGAATTACTTTGAGAACCAAATGAAGAAATATTTGAGGAAATTATTATTTTTAAAGAAATAAATGAGACAACAACTACTGGAAAGATTAGACAGGAAACTTAGGGGGCAGTGAGTTTATGTTAATGGCAGAGGAACAACTTAGAAAAGGAGGATGAGAATGGTTGCACAACCTGAGGAATGTGATCAAGGACACTGAATTGTACATGTAGAAATTGTTGAATTGGTGTAGGTTTTGCTGTGTATATTTTCAACAAAAAAATTACTAAAAAAGAAATGAGAAAGTACTTTTATTTTTTTTAAATATAAGGTAAAACTTGTTATTTGTTTAGCTTTTGTTATAAATATCTTTATATCTTAAACTTTATCATTCTCAAGAAGTGGATTTGTATTACAGATGCCTTAAGTATTTGTGTTTTCTTGTTCCTTTGGCCCTTTCTTTCCAGGTTATAAAGCATGGAGCCTGGCTCAGTGGTTCGTGCTATCTTTGACTTCTGCCCAAGTGTATCTGAAGAACTGCCCCTTTTTGTGGGAGATATTATCGAGGTGCTGGCAGTGGTCGATGAATTTTGGCTTCTAGGAAAGAAAGAGGATGTTACTGGTAAGAAGTCCATGATTTCCCATGTACAAAATGGACTACAGAGCCTCCCTTCTTTCCATATTAAAGACGAAAGTTAAATGGGAAGCCCAAGTCTACAAACTTCAGAATCCTTTTGTGTTTTCCTTATATATCATACTCTGGTCTTTACCAATGAGGAGAGAATTTCTGTGTATCATTCTACGTCTCCTTATCAATTCCTTCAAAAAGATGAAATGGTTAGATACCAGCTGCCCCCATCCCAGTTTCCTATTCACGTCTTTCTCTTCTCTTTCCTTCCCCTTCCAAGGTCTTTATCCTTTGCATTCATTGCTGCTATTTCTCTTCTCACAATATGCGTTCCTCCTCTGTTCAGAACAAGCTGTTTGGTTACCACTGCCTTTCACAATCAGTTTTTATCTCTGATTTATGAAAATAGGTACTCTCCACCTTGTTATCCCTGGCTGCCTTCTTTTAACTATTTTTCTACCTTTTCTTTCATTCTTATGAAGGTAATATGATTGATCCTTTTTACTCCTTCCTAGATTCATTGTTAGCTTAAATTTATTAAAGCTGTTATCTACCCTAGATGCTGCCTACCTCCCACTTCTATACACCAGTTTACCTTTCATTGATTCTTTAAAATATATGTTAACAGCATTTTCTGTCATTAATTAGCTTAGGGAAGGTGGAAGCTTTTCCCACACAATATGCACCTATGTTAGTCCAGTCCCTAACTTACATATATTTATGTGTGTCTGGTTTGGAGTGTGTTATACAGCCCTTAGAACAGACTTCGTCACTTGTTTATTCATTCATTCAACAAACATTTGTTGAATGCCCATCAGGAAATATAATGATAATCAAGATACATACAGTTCTACCCCCCGCCCCCCCGTAGTGATTACCTTCTAGAAGGAAGGCAGTCAGTTAACTGTAGGTACGGCCCGAAAGGTCTTGTGCTATAAGAAAGGAAGTAGAGAGTGCTATAGACACGTTTAAGAGGGACACTTAACCCACATTTGGGAGATTATAGATTATTTTTTGGTAGAAATAATATCTCAGTTGAGACAAAAAGGATGAATAGGCATTAGGAAGAATTTCTTGTTCAAAGGCCCTGGAGTGACCTAGAACATGGAAAATTTGAGGGACAGAGAAAAGCCTGGTGTAGCATGGAGTATGAGTGGTTGAGGAAAGAGAGATGGGGCTGGAGAGCTGAGCAGAAGCTATATCACAGAAGGCATCATATGCCATGGTAAGGAGTTAAGGAAACGGAATCATAAAATGTTTTAATCATGATCATATTGGAATTTTAGAAAGTCCACTGCTACAGATTGAAGAATGATAAAAAACAAAAAAAAACCCATTGCTGTCAAGTTGATTCCGACTCATGGTGACCCCGTGCATTATGGAGTAGAACTCAACTCCATAGGGTTTTCTTGGCTGTAATCTTTATGGAGGCAGATTGCCATGCCTTTCCTCTGTGGCACCCCTGGGTGAGTTCAGTCAACCTTCCAGTGGTCCAGTACAAACAGTTTGTGCCGCCCAGGGACCTCTGGAGACTGATAGGAGGTGGCAAAACTGAAGGTCAGGAGGCCAGTTGGGAAGTTGTTGCAGTAACCAGGTGAAGATGATGACAGCCTAGACAAGGCGATGGGGCTGGAGATAAGTAGACAGATACAAGAGATAATTAGAAGGTAGAATCAACCAAACGTTCTTCTTCTTTCCAACTGGTAGGCCCTGTCTTTCTACCACTACCTATTAAAATCCTGCGCATCTTCAGAGACCTGTCTCAAATGCCACCTTTTTCATAAAAATTTTCCTGTTCTTCGTGACCGTCTCTACCTTCTCTGACCTCTTGTAGCAATTTGTGTACCTATGTTGTGACCCGAATCAAGTTATTGTGTGTCTGAACCAGATTTTATGTCTGAATGAGATTGTGAGATCCTTGAGGGCCAAGACGGTCTTACTCATTTTCCCTCTGCAGTGTGCCTGGCATAGAATGGCACCCAGTAAATGCTCATTGAATTGCATTTTCAAATCCATGAAAATTTCATTTTCTACATGCTTTAATTTTGCGTGGTTTTCTCACAATAGACTCCCATTTATGAGTACTCAGTGAGTTCTCAGTTCAGAGTTCGCAGATGGGCTCAGAAAAACACTTTTGTCCCTGCACGCAGCCAGAAAAAAGAAAAAATTCAATAATGGAAATGTTGCTTTTATTTTTAGGACAGTTCCCCAGCAGTTTTGTGGAAATTGTGACTATTCCCAGTCTAAAAGAGGGAGAGAGGCTGTTTGTCTGCATCTGTGAATTCACATCCCAAGAATTGAACAGTCTTCCCCTCCATCGAGGTAAGTAAGCTGGTCATCCCAGAGTAGAAAACTGTTTAAAAATTAGATTGTGGAGTCTGCCCATTTTTAAGTGGCTACCTGGTAGAGAGTCCCCAGCAATACCAAGATAGGCCTGACAGTAGCAATGCCTTATATTTTAATAGCAGCTTACAGTTTCCACAGTATTTTCTCACAAATACATTCTCATTTGATCCTCACCATAAACCTGGAAGGTAGTAAAGTGGGTATTATTAACTGTATTTTATATATAATGCAAGTAATGAAAGATTCAGAGAACAGTACCTATAGATAGAAGTTTTGACCTCAGAGTGTGAATTCATATCACCTGATTCTAAGTCCACTCTTCTCTTTCCACCACTCCATGCTGTAACCACACTTTAGACTATATCTTTCCCCCCATAAAAACTGATAGAGCTTTGCTAACAACATTACCATTTATTAATGCATAATATTAGAGCGGGAATTGCTGTATGGAAATTAAGAGACAGTATTTTTCTACTTTATCATTAGACAATGCTATAAAAGTTCTCATCAGAACTAGTCTAAAAGGGAGCAGTTTAAAACAGAGAGTTGTAGCCATGTCTCAGTGATATTCAGGTATTTCTCACTTGCATGCTGACTGATACATGAATTTCTAAAGTTGCATATAAACCATTTTAATGAGTGTATAGTGTTCCACAAACTGAGGATTATAATCAAAGAATTCTGTAATGACTCCGAACGGTCATCAAAATGGTAGAAAGCATTAGCTGTATTGTTAATATTGCTGCTTGCTCTTTCAAGTATGATACTGAAGAGATAAGCTTAACTTCTGAAGACACATACACACAAGATACAAAGATAGGGAAACCTAGCAAAATTCTCTGACTCTTAATCAGTGAGAAGAAGGAATGTTAAATTTTGACCATAATCCTAAAAGTCTATTTTGAGAGTTTCTTGTACTTCACTTTACACTCAACCTTGACCCGTGTTCTGTGTACTTCCATGCTAATCAGTGTTGGGAAGGCAGACAGAAATAGAAGAAGATATTGTAACTGGGAACCTGACTGCCCTTACCCATAGGTCTCCCAATGGAGGTCCACTTCAGAACAGTCAGAGATAGAATGGAGAAAGGGCAAGAGCACAGTGGCTTCCCCCAGAGCTATGTAGAATGTAGAGAGCATGGACTTTTCCTTTCCTACCCCTGGTTCCTGGAGTAAATAGTAGGTGTAGAATACAGTTTGTGGGAATATGCATAACGAACGACTACAACATTCTGAGGAATTTTGAGGATATGGCTTGTGGAACCAGCTTTTTTTGCTTCATAATTACATCTTGTATAGTCAAGTCTTAGGTACTAAAAAGAGAAACTTTCTGCTGAATGGCAAGTCTGGTCTAATGTGTTCTGAATTTGCTTTAAGTTAAAATATACATCAGGAATCCAGGGCAGCCTGAGAGATGTTCAGAAGGACTCTGGCATGGACCTTTCGGCATGAGTCACTTGTGCCAAGACTGACTCAAGGTCAGGATGGGTCCTGGAAGCCTGTAGAGCTTATCTTGACTAACTTTTAATCAGTTAATCTCAGTAATCTTAAAAATGTATGTGGGACTCAAAGGATAAGGAGGCAGGGCAGGTGGGATACTTAGGAAAAGGGAGAGAAAAATAGGAAGAGGTGTACTAATTTCTAGTGATTTTATCTTGCACTCTTCTTTGTGATACTTTACTGTCAGTAGTCTCTCGGTGGGATAAACAGTTAAGCGCCTGACTACTAGCTGAAAGGTTGGTGATTCGAACCTATTCAGAGGTGCCTTGGAAGACAGGTCTGGCAGTCTGCTTCCGAAAAGTCACAGCCTTGAAAACCCTATAGAACGATTCTACTCCGCACACATGGGGTCGACGTGAGTCAGAATCAACTCCATGGCAACCAACAACAACGGCCAGTAAACACCCTGACAAGTCAGCTCTTTTTCCTTCTACGCCTTTCGCGTCTCTTCCAGCTCTGTACGTCTTCTGATGTGAAAAGCCGAACGCTTTGAGGATGAGGAAGTTAGGTGTACCTACTCAATGTGCCTTTTTTCTGGGAGATTTAGTATGAGACGTAGGAATGATTTTAATTCCTCTTGTAGTTTTTTAATACATGACAGTTCATATCAACAAGTATTAATTTTGCTAGTTGGAAACAAAATGGCTAAAAATGGAAGGTATTGTTTTATACCACACAGAGTTTATAAGACTTGAGTCCAAGCTTCCTTAATCTTCAAGTTTAGTGCTTGGGATCGCCCTTCTTCTTAGACCGAGAATTGTTTTTCCATTAAACCAATGTTTCAGCTCATAAGTAATTTATTTCTCTATCTCTATCCTCTAGTACTGTTAATCCTGCTCCCCATTGTAGTTTTATCTTTCCTTGGTACCTCTAAGTGTAGCAGTACAATTTCTCCTCTTCTGTGTAAACAAAACAAAACATTGGTGATGGAATATATGTCAGGAAGCGATTTGGAAACCTTAAGAGTGTGAGGGATAATGTTTGAGATCTGTTGTGTTTTACCATGCTACCTTTTTGGTTAATTATCATTTACCTACCTTTCAGAAATATCATTAGGATTAATAAGAGAAAAAAATACACACACACACATTTGGAACAGACAGTATAGCTTAGGGGATAAGAATTCTGACAGCATTAGGCTTAAACCCAGGTCTGCCACTTAATAACTGTGACCTTTGGCAAGTTAGTTAAGTTCTCAGCCTGAGATTCCTTATCTACAAAATGAGGATAAGAATACCTACCTTAGGATAGTTGTGAGGATTAAATCAGGTTGTACATGTAAGGCATATAGCACAAGGTAAGCATTCAGTAAATGTTAGATATTTTTATCATTCTTCACCTTGGGTTTGTAGATGTGTTTCAAGATACCTTTTTTCCCCTGATAATTATGGGTGAAGTTTTGTGTGTATGTACATTTTTCCATGGAAATTCTATCTGGAATCAGAACCCAGTGGCTTTTCCAGCAGGTGTCACTCTTTCTCCTTTTCCCCAAGCTATCCAATTGTTTTGGACTTGTATTTGGAGTTATATTTAAACTCAGAAACAAGACTGTTGCCTAAAAGAAGGGTCATTGCAGGCGGCCAATGCCACTGGCTGCTTCCAACAAATAAAGAGAAGAAAAGAGAGCGGAAACAGAAGAAGTGAATGTAACAACACAGAGGCAAAGAGGAAAGAAAAAAGTGTGTGCATATGAGTGATTGTCTTAGTCATCTAGTGCTGCTATAACAGAAACACCACACGTGGATGGCTTTAACAAAGAGAAGTTTATTCTCTCACAGTTCAGTAGGCTACAAGTCCAAATTCAGGGTGTCAGCCCCAGGGGAATGCTTTCGTTGTTGGCTCTGGAGGAAGGTCCATGTCATCAGTCTTCCCTTGGTCTGGGAGCTTCTCTGTGCAGGAACCTCAGGTCCAAAGGACACACTCTGCTCCTGGCACTGCTTTCTTGGTGGTAGGAGGTTCCCACGTTTCTCTGCTTCCTTCTCTCTTTTATATCTCAAAAGAGATTGGCCTAAGACACTACCTAATCTTGTAGACCTCATCAGTATAACTGCTGCTAATCCATCTTATTATATCATAGTGATAGAGTTTACAACACATAGGCAAATCACATCACATGATAAAATGGTAGACGATCATACAATACTGGGAATCATGACCCAGCCAAGTTGACAGATAGTTTTTGGGGACACAATTCAATCCATGACATTCCACCCTTTGGCCCCCAAAAATTCATGGCCTTGCCACATGTAAAACGTATTCAACCCATCATATCATAGCAAAAGTCTTAAGTCAACTCCAAGTCCAAAATCCAAAAATTCTTCTTCATCTGTGAAATCTAGAATACAAGCTGTCTGCTTCCAAAGGTACAATGGCAGAACACGCACAAGCTAGACATTTCCATTACAAATGGGAGAAACTGGAGGAAAAGAAGGGATAACAGGCACCAAGGAAGTCAGCAGAACACATTACATTAGCCCTCAAGGCTTTGAAAATAATCCTCTGTTCTCTGAGACAGTTTACACAATGGCCCAGCCCTCCAGACTTTTAAGTATTGGCCACACTCTGGATTCTGAGTGGAGGCCTCTCGGCCCTGGGCTTCAGCTCCGCCTTCCAGGCCCACTGGGACAGCAACTCTGCTCCCTCAGCTTTAGGCGCTCCATTCTCCTAGTCCATCTGAGTGGTGACTCCACCCTTAGAAACACCAGAGGCCATGGCTCCAACCCTTGAAACACCTGAGGTCATGGCCATATCTTTTGAGACTGAGGCAGCTTGGCTTCTTGTGTTCCTTGTCTTTTCAGTTTCTGCTTCCCTTAGCCTCTTGGCCCTCGGCCTCACACCCACATCTGCCCTGCTGGGGCAAGTGTTCCAAAGCTCAGTAGCTCCATCAATAAGTGCCCAGAGGCACCCCACTCTTCCAGGAAGCCTCCTGTGCACAGGCACTCAGCTCTCTCCATGGGTCAGCTCCAGTGCCGTCTTGCTGTGGTCTCCTGGTTCTGCTGCTGCTGGTCCTCTGTCGCTGCTGTTCCTCTATCCGTTCACAGTTTCAAAACCACTTCCACATTTTAGGTATCTGTTGAGCAGCACCCCACTCCTGGTACCAGATTCTGTTTTAGTCATCTGGTGCTGCTATAACAGAAATACCACAAGTGGATGGCTTTAACAAAGAGAAGTATATTCTCTCATAGTCTAGTAGGCTAGAAGTCCAAATTCAGGGCGCTGGCTCCAGAGGAAGGCTTTGTGTCTCTGTTGGCTCTGGAGGAAGGTCCTTGTCATCAGTCTTCCCTTGGTCTGAGAGCATCTCAGCACAGGAACCTCAGGTCCAAAGGACGCACTCCGCTCCTGGCATTGCTTTCTTGGTGGTATGAGGTTCCCATGTCTCTCTGCTCGCTTCTCTTCTTTATATCTCAAAAGAGATTGGTTTAAGACACTACCTAATCTTGTAAACCTAATCAATATAACTGCTGCTAATCCATCTTATTACATCATAGTGATAGCATTTATAACACATATGGAAATCACATCAGATGATAAAGTGGTAGCCAATCATACGATACTGGGAATCATGACCTAGCCAGTTGAAACACACATTTTTTGGGGGGACATAATTCAATCCATGTCAGTGATGTAATATCACTAATAATTGCCTTACGTACACAGAATGCCTACTCCTTGCCTATACCCTCTTGTTTCTGGACCACTCCCCCCAAAAAAATTCTAATAAAAAATGAAGACAAACATCTCAAATGTTATTTATCAATCAAAGCACATGTTTTGTAAATTTGCAGTGCCGTGTGTGAGATACCAGGATTAAGTCTTTGATAGGTTCATCTGGAAACCTAAATGAAATATGTGGTCAGTCTTCATGAAGCTCATAGTTCCCTGGCTATTTAGAGAGAGCCACAAGAGGATGCAGTGACGAACCTAATACTGCAAGGTCAGACTACTTATATTCAAATTCTAAGAAGATCTGCATTCGTTCTTATCACCTTATTTCTAATGCATTTCTTACTCAAATATAAAATCCAGCCAGAGGAAACAAGCAGTGTGGCTGAGACTGTATATAAGCCAAAGACTAAGGCTGATACTGCAGTCACCACACTTCCTGTTTTTTTGTTCTTGAAATCTAGTCACACTGTTCCAGAAGTTCCTTATATTGGTGTTTCAGGAGTCTGGAAATGACTGCTGGGTAGCCTCCACACTGAAGGTGGCACCTAGAATCCCAGAAGAATAGCTTCCATGACTCCTTCTGATGAAAGTGAGAGACTCATGCAGAAAACTCAGTAACGGTCAGGGCTGTAAAATGACTAAATTTGATGGGAAATTTGGCGACAATTATGGGTGATGGTTGCAAAACATGATTAGTGTAATTGATATCACTAAATTATATGCCTAAAAAATATTGAATTGGCAAATGTTGTGTTTTATGTATCTCTATTTAAAACAATAAAAATAAAAATAAACTAAATTGTCTCTAAGGTGCTTTCCAGGGTCTAAACTGTAATTTTTAAAAATTCATCTGTATTATGTAGAAGTGACCAACAGAATGATCGTCTGCCAAGTAATGAAGCTTTTCAAAACAGTCACCCAGGTGAAGGTAGACAGAAAAACAAGCCTTGTTATACTGGTTTCATGGAGAGCTGGCAAAACAAGGAAATGCCATAATTCTACAGCTTTAAGTAGGCCAGTTCTTGTCCAGGCCAGCAGAGTGGGAGTTGTGGCAAACTTTTATTCTTCCCATTCACCAAGAGGTCATTGTGTTTGAACCGCGGTCATGTCACCAACGAGTTCCTCTGTGGCCCCAAAGGAATGGCCTCAGGGCCAGTGGGGGAAAAATTACTTATGGTAATTCTCAGGACCCCAAGCTCTGACCAATGGATATTGAATTATAAATTACAGAAATACAGGACCAAGATACAATTGTCCAAATTAGGGACATAAGTAATATTTTTTTTTATATATAGATTACAGACAGCCAAGATGAATGTGGCTTCTAAGGTTTTTTAGAGAAGCATGCTAAAATTTCAGATGAAGAGAGTACAGTAAAGATTTGGAGTTAATATGGGCATGGTTTGTATGGGGACAGTGAAAGTCCCCTTGTGCGGAATAGGGTCTCATAGGTGAGATAATATTGGATAGGTGGGGGGAGAATTATGGCTAGATGTGAATGCCATCTTGCATTGGGGTGAAAATCTAAGACTAGCTTTCTGGTAGTTAGGAATTAAACCTTTTCAGAGAATGTCTGGAGCAAACTTGTTTTTTTATATGTTTCAGGTAATAAGAATAGAATTATTAGGGAAGAAGCCTTTGGCAATAGGCCCTTCATGCCTCATAGTAAAAGTTTGAGTAGGAGAGGGATATAACAAAATTGGTACATCTATAATCTTAATTTGGCACGAATCATTTGTAGAGTGGAAGAGGCGATGTCTGGGGCCATGGTTTAAAAGGGTGAGATGGTGAGAGTTAGACTATGGTGGTAGCAAAGTGCAAGTAACGGATGGAAGAAATACTTTGAAAGAAGAAATTAGAGGGAGAAAGAAAATAGCCACATGAAACCAGTTCTGGAGGGAAGATATAATGAATTTAGTTGGGAGTTGGGGTTTAAGAATCATCATCATTAGCAAATGGACATTGAGTGCTTGCTATATGAAAGGCATTGTACCAGACTCTTGAAATATAACAGTGGTACCTGCCTTTAGGGAACCTGTAATCCACTTGAAAAGATCATCAGCACCACCAGTTGCCATGGAGTTGACTCTGACTCATGGTGACCGCATGTGTGTCAGGGTAGAACTGTGCTCCATAGGGTTTTCAGTGGCTGATTTTTCAGGCGTAGATTGCCAGGCCTTTCTTCCGAGGTACCTCTGGTTGGATTCAAACCGCCAACCTTGAGGTTAGCAGCCAAGCGCTTAACTGTTTGCACCGTCCAGTGACTCCTACTTGAGAAGGTAGGACAGATTTAATATTTTAAACATCAGCAGCATATAAATTGATACCCTCAAAGATAACCCAGTTTTCAAAATGTACTTGACTATAAAATGAATCATGTGATTTTGCTAGATGTTTTGTCACCCTGGTTTTCTTTTACTTAAGCCATCTAAATCCCTTGAGCACCTCATCTCATGACAGGGAAAGCTGACTTAGGTGCTGAGTAAAAGGAAAGTTAAAATGAGATTAAAATTGATACTGCACAAAATGAATAGTTCATAATCAGATAATTAAGAATTTGCTATAAAACCGTTGGTTACAAAACTATAATTTTTTTTAACTGGGGTGACTCATATAAGACTGAACTTTAATTTTAGTTTTTCCAGAAACAAACACTGTTTTATCCTTCTTTACCTCAACTTCTTCAGTACAACAGATGGTAACTGTTCAACCTATATTTTATGAAGAGAACCTCAAACAACAATATTGGAAATATTGGTTATTTTTAAAAACAAAAAGTGTTGATTACTGGAACCGTCTTTTAAGATTTTATTATGGTGTATTTTCAGAATAGAGATAGTTCAAGAAGGCCTCTGGAGAAAATGAATGAAAAGGTTATTGCTCACCCCCTGCATCTCCAGAAAGAACCCATTCCTGAAGACTTGTTTATTAATTGTCTCGTATTTGATATTAAATAATTTGGTTTGAGAAATCAGATCCCTGACAAATCCTTATCCAAAGAGATATATTGGACCTGAATACATTCTTTTATGGTTTATAAACTGATTCAGTAGCATGGACTGTGAGAACATTATTTATTGTAGCATTTCTAAACTTTTTGGCCTCAGAATCCCTTAACACTCCAAAGCTATTGAGACTCCAAAGAGCTTTGACTTATGTGAGTTATTGATGTTTACCATATTAGCTATTTAAACTGAGACATTAAAAAATATTTACCAATTCATTTAAAAAAACAATAAACTCATTATGTGTTAACATAAATGACATATTTGTGTGTTAAATAATTATAGTTTTCCCAACAAAAAATTTTAGTAAGAAGAGTGACGTTATTTACATGTTTGTAAATCTTTTTAAGGTCTGACTTAATAGACAGCTGGATTCTCATATTTGCTTCCATATTCAGTCTGTTGCAATATGTTGTTTTGGTTAAAGCCTGTGTAGGAAATCTAGCCTCACACAGATATATAGTGGAAGATTGGAGGATTTTAATAGCGTTTTCAGGTAGTTGTGAACATCTTTGATACGGCACCAAAATGAGGTGAGTGGTGGTTTCTTAAGGGTTAGTTACAGTGTATAATCTGAAACTGTTATCAGTGAACTTTTCTGCTCTGTTACACTAAAATCCATTAGTCTGTCTTGCCTTTGGAATAGATTTTAGCCATGAGTGATTTTATAATATCATGCTTCAGTCATTTGGAAAATAATTGACGTAATGAGTTATGCAGATTTTCAGATGTTGACCATTTCATTATATAATGTCAAAAAATTATATTTGTTGGTATCTCTAGTGATCGCATCAGAAAAATCTTTACATACGGGGAAGCTATTAAGCTGTTGGTGGTAGATACAAGTTTTTCAAAATTTTAACTTTCACTTGAAATTTTGGAAGTTTTTCATTAACAACAGATATGTAATTTATTTTCCTTGAAGTTGCAGGCTTACTTCTTTCATTTTAGAGAAAATGTTTGTCAAATACTCAAGCCTGAATAACCATAGTTGTCTGTCAGTCACTCTTTCAAGTAAAAATGTGTTCTGTGAGAAAACACGGCTGGTTCAGACTACAACTCAGTCACACAAGTGCTTTGCCTCGAGACAACCATTGTCCGTCAGTCTGCAGCAGAAGTGCTTTATACATACTTCCCATTTTGTCACACAAGTACAAAAGATATGTTCTCATGAGTTGAGATTTAAAATAAAAATGTTATTTTGTGTTGCCTTATCCAGGACATTCTTAACTGAAACTGGCTTTTTTTTTTTTTTTTTTTTTTACCATGAGTGCCTTGGTGGTGAAGAATACAATGACCGTTACAATGAAGACCATACAGTGGCCACTTGTACAGTTTGTTGCTATTACATTGGTTCATGCTAAGGCACCAGCAGTTGCACCCACTATGGCTTTTACATCATCATTGCAAATCAATACAGTGAAAAATGTAGATAAAGTCTTAGGATTGTAACAAAAATAGTTTTGGCCTCATTGACCCTCTGAGAGGATTTCAGAGATTTGTCTTCCCCACCCGGGATTCTGATGACCACATTTTGAAAACCTCCAGTGTATGGCAGTGTTCCAATTCACTGAATGGTGAAATGAGTTCATGCTCTTAAAATTCTAGGAGTACATTTCTTTGAATTTTATAGATGTTTAAAACAATTAATTGCACTATTATTTATAGTAATATTTTGCTGGGATGATCACTGAGGTCATTTTATTTGCTTCTACTCCTTCTTTAGGTGACCTAGTAGTTCTTGATGGCTCTCCCACTGCTGGCTGGCTGCAGGGTCGAAGCTGCTGGGGTGCACGAGGCTTCTTCCCATCTTCATGTGTCCGTGAGCTCTTCTTCTCCTCACAAAGCCGTCAGTGGCACTCACAGAGCTCCCTGCTTCAGATTCCTGAATATTCAATGGGACAAGCCCGGGCCCTCATGGGACTTTCTGCCCAGCTGGATGAGGAATTGGACTTCAGAGAAGGGGATGTGATTACTATTATTGGAGTTCCTGAACCAGGCTGGTTTGAAGGGGAGTTAGAGGGTCGAAGAGGTATTTTCCCAGAAGGTTTTGTAGAGCTTTTGGGGCCCCTGAGGACTGTGGATGAGCCAGTAGGTTCTGGAAATCGAGATGGGTGCATTATTAATGGTGTCGTAGATAGCCCTACAGAAGAAGAAGAGAGAGGGCCGGAAGAGGATGAAGAGCAACCAGGGACCTATGGAATTGCCCTCTACAGATTCCAAGCCCTGGAGCCAAATGAGTTGGATTTTGAGGTAGGGGATAAAATCCGAATTCTGGGGACCCTGGAAGATGGCTGGCTAGAAGGATCACTGAAGGGCAGGACGGGCATCTTTCCTTACCGCTTTGTAAAGCTGTGTCCTAGCGCAAGGGTGGAGGAGACCATGGATCTGCCACAGGAAAGCAGCCTCACCAAGATCCCTGAAACTTCTTTGGATTGTTTGGAAAACTCCTTAGTAGTGGAGGAAAAAAGACATGGATCTCACGAGTATAGAGCAGAGAAGTCCAACTGTGTTATTTCTGAAACACTCGTTTCTCCACTAGATCATCTGCCTTCTGAGTACGAAGTAAACAAAAACTCTCATCTGGATGAAGACGTCTTAGAAGAGCTTCTGAGAAGCCCAGGCATGGCGCATGAACGTGGAAAGCCTCTTGCCAAAGACTCCTGCACGAATGATCCTTTAGACGTGGTCAATGGTATTTTCTCCCAACCTCAGTTACCTTTTCATCCCAAATTGCAGAAAAATCAGTATTATTCCACAAGAGAGAGCCACCAAAGCTCAGAAAAGTACTCTGACCCTCTTCCTTTAGAAGCAAGGAGTAGACACTTCTCCAGTCTACCTCTCAAAGGAACGCACTCCCAGCTGAAAACTGCTCAGAAGTCAGTGCCCCCTCTTCATAGCAGCTCTTCGTTGTCAGCCTCTAGGGCAGTCAAACCCAGCCAACTGAGCCTTCAACTCCATGGCATGGCAAGGTGTGCTAAAAAGCACCACAAGTCCAAAGAACGTGCTTCCAGCTTTAGCTCTGTATTAGAGAGATCAGAGATGATACCTGGTCTGCAAGGCAAGGGGCCTGCTGTGGAAACAATGGCACTTGAACAGGGAGATGACAGCGCTGACCTAGATTCTAAGTTAACCCAACAGCTGATAGAGTTTGAGAAGAGCTTGTCCGGGCCTGGCACAGAACCAGATAAAGTCTTATGCAATTTTTCAATCATGGACTTTAACTCTGAGAAGGATATTGTCCAAGGTTCCTCAAAATTAATCACCCAGCAAGAGCTGCCTGAGAGGAGGAAGGCCCTGAGGCCACCGCCACCACGTCCCTGTTCCTCAGTATCCACTTCTCCCCGTTTGCTGGTTGACCAGAACCTGAAACCTGCACCACCCTTGGCAGTGCGACCCTCTCGCCCAGCTCCCTTGCCTCCCTCAGCACAACAGAGAATGAATACAGTATCCTCCAAGCTCCTGACCTATAACCTTCCTAGCTGTGAGACTCTAGAAAAGGAGAGCCCTGAGAATACAGAAAAGACTCTGGACCAAACTTCCCAGTGTCCCTTAGTATTGGTGAAGATTCAGGAAATGGAACAGGACTTGGATATGTATAGCAGGACTCAAGAAGAGCTAAACTTAATGCTGGAAGAGAAGCAGGATGTATCATTGAGAGCAGAGACCCCTGAGAATCTTGAGTTCTATGAGAGTAACATTGAAAGCTTGAATATGGAACTCCAGCAACTTAGAGGTAAGTGATGAGGAAATAATACATACTTGTATCTAGACACCCAGAAGTCCAAATAACAGCCTACCCATGCTTTTGAGGATACTCATGCTTTTGACCTTTTTTTTTTAATTGTGGTAAAACCATACACAACAAAACCTTCACCAAGTCAACAGTTTCTACATGTACAGTGTAGTGACACAGATTACATTCTTCATGTTGTGCAACCTTTGTCACTTTCCTTTTCCAAATTATTCCACCATCATTAACATAAACTCAATGCCATCTAAGCAAAAACTCCTGCTTCCCTCCTCTCTCACACCCCTGGTAACCACTAATCTTTGGTTTCTATATATTTGCTTATTTCATATTTCAGTTTTATATGCGAATAATGCACGTCTTTTACATTTGTTTGCTAACTGCTGCCTCCCCCCATGAGTTATTTTCGTAAACACCACTATGCCAATTTTTTTTTTACATGTTGATGTGAAAAAAATATTAGGAAAGCACGCTTACGAAAAAAATACCTCGTCGGGGAGGGGAGCAGTTGGCAAACAAATGTAGAAGGAGTGTGTTATTTGTGTAAAAATACATTAAATTAGATCATACAATATTTGTCCTTTTGCGATTGACTTATTTCACTCAGCATGGTGTTTTCTAGGTTCATCTATGTTGTGGCATGCTTTTGATCCAAAGTAAAGAATGATTTGCTTCTTTCATTACCCAATTTCTTATTCTGTTACCACAGCTAGACTCCTCTGTCTTGATATAACCTATGACCATTGTAGCCTCCTGACTTCATTGGCTGCTCAGATAAAGAAGCTCAAACCTCAGTGACGTTTATACCCCCATTGACATTTATACTTCCTGTACTACGGTGGGGAGCCCTGATGGTGCAGTGGTTAAGAGCTACGGCGAGCTATGGCTGCTAACCAAAAGGTTGGCAGTTTGAATCCACCAGCCGCTCCTTGGAAACCCTATAGGGCAGTTCTGCTCTGTCGGGCAGGGTCACTATGAGTCAGAATCGACTCGAAGGCAATGGGTTTGGTTTGGTTTTATACTGCAGTGGCATTCATAGCAGTAGTGCAAATGGGAAGTCCCTGAATATAACTTCCTTCAACAAGTTTCTACTTAGGACTAAATACTTCAGGCTGAAACTCATGAGAAAACTGCATCTTGTATCTTTGTGGTCCAAGACTGAATTTCAATGATAATAATAGTTAACATTTATTAACTTATTCAAACCAATCCAAGCCCGTTACCGTTGAGTCGATTTTGACTTATAGCAACCCTATAGGACGAGTAGAACTGCTCCATTAGGCCTTCAGACTAATATTTTCCTTATGTCCGTGGTTTTCTGCATTCTCCTTTGCTCCTAACAAAATTGTCATAGGACAGCCCTTGCTACCCTTGAAGAATGACCAGGTGCATTGTCGTAATGGAAAAAAATTCCTCGGCGCAACTTTCCTGGCCTTTTTCTCACCAATGCAGTTTTCAGTTTTCTTAAAACTTCCTCATAATAAGCCCCCATGATTGTCCTGTGTCCTTCAAGAAAATCTATTAAGATTACCCCTTTGGAATCTCAAAAAACGGTCACCATAACCTTCTGAGCAGTCTTCCCTCTCTTGGCTCATATTTGAGGTCTTCTCAGCCTTCCTTGAAACTGTTGATCCATCTAAAAACTGTTGTTTTATGTGGGGCAGTGTTCCCATGAACTTGTTGCAAAGCTTCAGTTATTTGGGAAGATGTCCACTTGAGTTTTGTTAAAAATTTGATGTTAGGTCTGACCTCAAAAAACATTTTTTCCATGGCACAAAAAGAATCCTTTTTTTTTTTAAAGGCAATCTAACGAGACTAAGACAGATGTATTACTGAGAGAACTTGTCTGCACGATCCACTGATGGCAGAGACATGTTTAAACACTTTGTTCGGAGTAAATCCATGCATGTATGAACTGAAACCCTAGTAGCAATGCTTTTTGACTTACCTTCATATTTGATTTTTTTTTAACTTGCTCTTCCTGTTACTGATTTCTACTTTTATGGCATTGTGATTAGAGAGAACTTGTAAACTATTTGTGCATTACATATATAGGTGGCAGAAAAAAGGTCTCCCAAATTCCAGCTATCAAAAATTTCTCAACAATGATACCTTTTAGAATTAATGGTGTTCCACAGGAATTTTCTGTCATTTATGCTTAAGAACACTGTGCAATGTTTTTATATGGATACATGGATGAATGTACTGGTACTAAGTGAGTTCATTTATTGGAAACAAAAAGCCTAGTATTGGTAGTTCTAGGTAAGTTGGTGACTGACTCTGACTGAGAATTAGAAGTTTTAAATTCAGAATTATCATCTAAAGTCAGGGTAGAATACTAGGAGGCAGTTATGATTATTGTGTGTTGGGCAATGAAAATGTAGGGCTTCAGGTCAGTCACTCATTCATTCAGCAAATATTTGTTGAGTTTTTACCATGTGCCAGGCACTGTGCTAAGGGCAGGATATATAGTGATGAACAATATAGATGTGGTATCTGCCCTCAAGGACCTTCCAGTCAAGTGAGTTGCTAATTAATTAATTAAGGTCCATATCTAAAACACCGTACTATACTTTCAAGTCTGATGAAATAGGTTGACTTCCAAAGCAGTGGAAACATTCAGGGTTGGTCCTCAGACTTTCTGATTTCCCAGGACACATTACTTCTAGAAGCCGTACTCAGAACTGCCCTGGTGGCATAGTGGTTAAGCGTTCGGCTGCTAACCAAAAGGTCTGTAGTTCAAATCCACTAGCCGCTCCTTGGAAACCCTTTAGGGGCAGTTCAACCCTGTCCTATAGGCTCACTATGAGTCAGAATTGACTCGACGGCAGTGGAGTTTATTTAGTCAGAAATGCATACTGTCACCCCTCAGAGAATCTCATTTTAGCATATCATAGTCCTTTTCTGGGCAATCCCTGGGTAGTGCAGATGGTTAAGTGCTCAACTACTAACCAAAAGGTTGGTGGTTCAAACCCACCCAGAGGCACTTTAGAAGAAAAACCTGGTGATCTGCTTTTGAAAGGTCACAGCCTTGAATACCCTGTGGAACACAGTTCTACTCTGTTACATACGGGGTTGCCATGAATTGAAATCGACTCGATGGCAACTGATTTTAGTTCTTTTCTATCTCTAGTAGAAGTTCACATGCCTGGATTTGACAAATAGTCTTCATTCATTCCTTTCATTCAACAAATATTTCTTGAGTACTTACTATGAACCAAGCACTGGCTATACACTGCTTATTTAAACAGACATAGTATCATTCACATTTGTGTGTCTTTGAAATTCTACTGATCATACTGGTACTGACCTCTGTATTGACATCATGCCGCCTGACTTGCTGCCCTTGAATCATGGCCATAGAGTTACTTCTGGTGTGGCTCCGTGCCTGGACCCCATTGTTCCAGATCAGTGTAGTGCAGAGTGAGTTAGCCTCCTCCACATCAGCAGCCTTGCTCCTAAACTTCCCCCTTCCCAGCCTTTACTGTCATGCCAGAAGGAGGACTGACCAGGGACTCTCAGAGTAATTTTTAGTGATGACTACTGCAAATCAAATCAGAATATAGTTTTCAGTAAATTAACATTTTCAGCAAGATATTAGATGGGCTGTAAGTCCCACGAAAGAGAATCAGTAGATTTATAAGTTAGAGAATTACTGATATGGAGCAATAACATCTTTATATTAAAGTGATCCCTAAAATTGCAGACAAATTCTTTGAATTTGAAAGTATTGTTTTTCTACGTAAAGAAGCAATTTGTTATTCTGAAGATTCCTCAGGTGTGGGAATTCTATCTCAAACTAGTAAAAGAGTTAAATAGTCAAATCTTTTTGAGATCTGTCAATACAACAGTTTATGTGAAAGAAATAATAACCTTACTTTCATTTTAGTTTGTCAGTACGTAAGAAAAACGCAAATACCTTTGACTTGTGTAACATCTGGTTTGGAGTGTTGGCTCAATAAAAATTAGCTCAGTTACTTCTAATAGATTTTATCCTGGTAAAAACCAGCAATCATAGTCAGAAACCGTTAATGGTACATGTTAATTCAGGACAGAACTAGTTTTTCTTTTTAGTATAGGTGGTTTAATGTATGTCAAGAAATCTAGCTTGGAATGGTTAATTTAGTTACACTTGACCAGTGAATCATTATTTTTAGCAGTTTGCAGTATCCCTTTGAGAACATTCCCTTACCCTCAGCTCCAGGCCGAGGGGTGGAGAAGCTGGCTGGAATAGATCCAGCTACTTCAAGTATCAGTTTCAGATTTCAGTGAGGTTTTTGCAGTGCATAGTAAAAAAAACCTGTCTCCAGCTAGCATGGAACCCCTCAAGTGCAAGAATTTATGGCACCACACCCCCACCTGCATGTGTTGCCTTCTTTTCCTGTTCTCTTTACCAGATGTAGTAAGACCCAAAGGACCAAAAACTCTGGGGCAGTCATTAGTCAACAAATATTATTGAGCTCCTACTGTATTCCAGGCAGTTCCAGGCACAGGAGTTACAGCAGAGATCTCTTTCCTCATATCATGAGATAAGCAATAAGTAAATAAAAATGCATAGTATGTTAAAAAGCAAAAGAAACTATGGGGAAAAGAAGTCAGGGAAGACTTCACTGAAAAGTGACATTTGAGTGAAGACCTGAATAATTGTAGGAAGCGGCTAAACCATTTTTTGGGGTGGAGTGAATCATTCTAAGCAGATAGGACAGTGAGTATAAGAGTGTGCAGGAGGCCAGTTCAGCTGGAGCAAAGGCATCGATAGGCCTTGCAGATCATCATTCAGAGTAAGAAGGGGGCCACTGGAAGGTTTTGAGCAGGAGACGAATATGGGCTTATTTTCGATTTAAGAAGAGTCACACTCTGGGTGTAAGGTTGAGAATAGACTGAAGGGGCACAAGGGCAGAAGAGAGAGACCAGTTAGGAGGCTATCACAGTGATTCAGGCAAGAGATGATGGACGCTTGGGTCAGGATGGTAGTGATGGAGATG